CACACTATCAATGTACTGTGTTAGTTGAGTTTGTGCATTTGAAAGATAAACTTGCAGATTTTGCAACTCTACTGTTGCTCACATATCCATACATTTTGATTTAGCACAAAGAAGTTAATTTTGTTTGATTATTTGTGTGATATAAAGTAATTCGACACTTCTTTCCTTACTTGTAATGGCAAAGCTATTATGTGGCATTTTATTATTACTGGACTATGCTGTATGCGTTAAATCTCATGAGTACTATTATCTTATATGTTTGTCTTATTATATTCATTTCTTGTGCTCATTATTTCATTTATTTTCCTCTCTTTAATTTCCCCTTTCTTTTCCTTGTTACTCTCATTTCGTAGAAAGTACATGTTAATATGTATCCTTTTTCACTTGAATGTGTTTTCGTTAGTACATACATTACATACTGTATCAGAGTATAGCTACGTCTTCATGCAGGTAGGGTATGTACAGCAGCAGAGTTTGCACAACTGGGAAAAGAAGTATATTCAACCAACATGTCAGACAGATCCACTGTGGTGCAGTCAGTGGACAGTTGTAAGTAACATCGTAAATAGTATAATAGATAGCATCAATTGGAGTGAAGTACCATGAATAATAGATAGTGTATTGTCAATTGGAGTGAAAGTTGACCAACTGAGATTATTCAGAGCTGGAATTTTTATTGTAGAACAATACTGGTCAGACTAATGAGACAAACCTTTATCTTGATCTGAATGCAGAACCAGCATGGATACAAGGATATACTGGAAATGGAATATTAGTTGGTGTCGTGGATGATGGTAAGATGATGTAATCATTCTCATAATCACATTACTCATTTTTGTGTAGGAGTACAACATACTCATACTGACCTAAGGAATAACTATGTAAGTGTATTTGTGATATAATTAATTGTTTTATAAATGACTGTAGCATATCATTTTTATATTCTAGATCTTCTCTCTCTCCCTCTTTTCTATACTTGTAGGTGTCAGCTTATAGTTATGATTTTAACTATAATGTTAGTGACCCATCTCCTGTTGGAACAGATTCCCATGGAACTGCTTGTGCTGGTGAAATTGTCATGAGACGTGATAATAATGTTTGTGGAGTAGGTGTAGCTTATGATGCCTCTATGGCAGGTAAGGGGAATTATACTTCATCCATTCATTCCCTATTAATTATGACAGGTCTTCGTTTATTGGGGGGAGCTAC